GTGTGGCCTGGTGTGAGCTGGAGAGGCCTAGTGTGACCTGGTGTGAGCTGGAGAGGCCTGGTGAGAGCTGGAGAGGCCTGGTGTGACCTGGTGTGAGCTGGTGAGGCCTGGTGTGACCTGGTGTGAGCTGGAGAGGCCTGGTGTGGCCTGGTGTGAGCTGGAGAGGCCTGGAGAGGCCTGGTGTGAGCTGGAGAGGCCTGGTGAGGCCTGGTGTGAGCTGGAGAGGCCTGGTGTGGCCTGGTGTGAGCTGGAGAGGCCTGGTGTGGCCTGGTGTGGCCTAGTGTGAGCTGGAGAGGCCTAGTGTGGCCTGGTGTGAGCTGGAGAGGCCTGGTGTGACCTGGTGTGAGCTGGTGTGAGCTGGAGAGGCCTGTGGCGCTCTGAGTCTTGGCTGAACTTCTGAGGCCTGTGTGGCTTCCTGTGTCCCACTGGGGGCACTTATCCTAGACGGGTCTAAGTGGCAGCTGGGAAGCCTGCCAGCCACAGTGGGCCAACGGCGACCTTGTGAGGACTGTGGAGTGCAGTTCTGTGAAGACACGGAGGCCTAACAACCCAGAAATCCTGTTGGCATGTGGAGGGCTGCCGGGGGCCGGGTAAGGTGCAGGGAGGCTCCGGGCAGGGAATGTGATTTCTGGGATCCAGGGTATTCCTGTGAGGCCTGGGGGCCCTGGAAGGCACGCTCAGAGCCGCCTACCCACCTTGGGCTGGATGAAGGTAATGAGGTCCCCGTGCAGAACCGGCTCCGTCAGGAAGCTGTAGGAGTGGGCTGACTCGATGCCGATGCCATAGGCAGCCACAATGGCTGGGTGGGCGCCCAGGGACAGGCCCACACAGAACTCATACAGGAAGCCACGGAGGGACGTGGAGGGCTTCGGGAGCTGCTTCAGTGCCAAGGGCGTGCCTGAGGACAACAGGGGTGGATGTGGGGGCAGCAGGAGGCTGAGGTCACTCAGGCAAGCTGTACTGCCCTGCAGCCATCATTGCTGGCCACAGCCTGGATTCTTTCCCGTATGTCCTTGCCCCCATTCCTCTCTCCATATCCAGCACCCCCTAACCACGTGGCTACAGATGCCAGCAGAAATGACAGCACTGGCCGAGTGTCCACACTGCCCTCTCTGTCCTAGAGCAGATGGACGCTGGCCCAGAGTCTCGGGGGCCCGCATCGGCTCCCCATGGCACTACATGCATATGTGAGGCTATCAGGCCAGTGAGGGGCAGCGGGGGAAAGGTGACCACCACCGGTAGAGAACCAGTTAAGGACTCATGGATCCTGTCCTGCATGGACACTTCCAGTCCCTGCGCTCCCCAAGGGCAGAAAGTTCTGGCCTCTTCGCTGTTCTGGCCCTGCTGCCAGGTCCCCATCTTGCTGGCCGTGGGCTGTGTGATGGGTGGTCACCTCCTGGGATAAGCACCACCACTCCCCATGCACGCCCCAGCTGGTCCTGGGGATTCGGGTCAGGAGCACACGCCACCCTCTGTGCCAATGGCCTCTGCCTACCTGAGCTCCATCCCCACACTTGCAGGGTCACCTGGCTCAGCCGGGAGTCAGGGGCCTCAAGGCCTGCCTTCAGTGAAACCCAGTGGACAGCCCCAGGCGCAGCGTCTGTTCCCCTGTAGTTCATGCTTTTAAAAGCACCCAGGGTGGCTGCCTCTGTCTGCCGCCCTCTTACGGGCTGGACGAGTCCCCTGCCCATTCGAGCGTTTGCACCATGTGCCTGTATCTGGTGGTCATTAGGGTGAGTCCAGACCCAACGTGACCGGTGTCGTGTAATGGTGGAGAGTGAAGACGCACGCACAGAGGCGGGACCTGTGAGGACACGGGAGAGCCATCTGCAAGCCAAAGAAAGACACCAGTCCTGGCGACCCCTTGGTCTCAGGCTTTCAGCCTCCAAAAGCCAAGGGAATAACCCTCCACGGCCAGAGAGCTTTGCAGCAGAGTCCCCAGCACATGCACTCTGCCGTCACACGGTGACCTGCACACTCACCCGCTCTGCCGGGCTCACTGGGAGCTTCCTGAAGCAGGGACAAGTTCAGATGCATCTCGGAGACCTCAGGACCCCCAGCTCGGGCCGGAGCCCCAGGCAGGCTCCAGAGGTGTACCCTGAACTGAGATGGACTCTGAGGCTCAGCCCAGGGCCCCTGTTTTGTGGGAGGGGCAGAGGCTCTGTATGCTTGGCAGGAGAGCACAGGGCAGGGGACCCGTGGTCCCTGTCCCCAGTATGTGGTGGCTGCACTAAGTGCCTGGGCTCTGCAGCATCCCAGTCTTCTCTACGCCAGCCTGTGAGCAACTCACGATGGTGGGGACTGTCCTAGTCACCAGTGTCCCCAGCGACAGGAGCAGTGGCTATACGGTGATCCCTCTCAACTGCAGTTCCCTTCCCAAAGATCCAGCTGACTGTGTTCAACTTTATTCCAAATACACCCAGTGGGTGACCCAGAGGTCAGCAAATCGAGGGTGTGGGGGATGGCCCAGTGCTGCGCGTACAGGCCCTGGAGCCATCCCCAGGACCACAAAGCAAATAAATGAAACTTCAAGGGTTTTAGATCGTGCACTGAGTCCCCACGGCACATCATCTGCAGGTGCACACCGCGTACTCCCCCATCCACCCGACACTTGGTGGCCATCTCGGGCATCAGATAGACTAACATGGCTGCCGCTGTGTTCGCGTAACACTGTTTATTGACGAGTGTGATGCCGACAGTCAGAGAATGCCCCGACAACTGCTGCCAGTTACTACTGGTCTCCTGACTGTGCCGACATGACAAACCACCCGATCACAGTCTGCATGCACAGGAAAGAGCATCGCATGCACGGGCGCAGGACCGCTCAGGGTTCTGGGCATCCACTGGGGCCAGGAGGGGGGCGTTGCCCGAGGTCAGAGGGCAGCACACATTCCTCTTTCCAAAGGAGCTCCTGGGATGCCCACATTGGACCAGGCGGAGGGAGACCTAACTCGGTCACCCAACTCCGCAGCCGAGGTGGCTCCCCCGCCCGTCCCCATGATGCTGTCCGTCCCTATGATCCTGACCCATCCCCATACCTTTCTGACGATGGGTGACCAGTAAGACGCGACCAAAACGGCCCTGGCCCAGGGGACGCACCTCCTGGTAGAGCTGGTCCACCTCAGCATGGACCAGGGTCTGGGCGCTCAGTGCCATCATGTCCTCTAGGGCCAGGGCGGCCTGCCGGCCCTGCTGGAGTTCCTCTGGGGTGAGGCCCCCGAGGCCTTCCTCAGTCCCATCTTCTGCAGCCCCAGCCTCCACTGGCCCCGCTACAGGCTGCTCGCCTGGCATTTCTGCAACAAGAGACACAGAGAGACCAAGCCGCAGCCGCCATGAGGGCCAGTGGAGAGGCTGGGCCCAAACACCCGGGTCTGAGGGAGGAGGCTGGGCCTGGACCCCGGGTCTGAGGGAGGGGGCTGGGCCTGGACCCCGGGTCTGAGGGAGGGGGCACCCCGGGTCTGAGGGAGGGGGCTGGGCCTGGACCCCAGGTCTGAGGGAGGAGGCTGGGCCTGGACCCTGGGTCTGAGGGAGGAGGCTAGGCCTGGACCCCTGAGTATGAGGGAGGAGGCTGGGCCTGGACACTGGGTCTGAGGGAGGAGGCTGGACCTGGACCCTGGGTCTCAGGGAGGGGGCTGGGCCTGGACCCTGGGTCTCAGGGAGGAGGCTGGGCGTGGACCCCGGGTCTGAGGGGGGACGGGTCTAGAAGTTCTGTTAACAG